CTTTCATTAAAGTCCAGGTGAAGTGATACAATTTTTGATCTGCAGGAGAGCTACAGCATCCAGCAAAGTCGATGGGATAAGTGTAGACAAAATTAAGTTCAAAGAACTACGGTGGACAGAGCTGGAGAACCTCACTGAACTAGAGGAAGTTACGATGAAAGGGAGGGGAGAAATGGAGAGGGGATACTAATTAAGGGGAGACAGAGAGAGAGAAGGAAAGGAAACCAGAGAACAAAACAAAAAACAAAGAAAATATAAAGAAGCTCCTAGAACTCTGGGCCAGCACCTTCATGAAGAGGGAATGAAAATAAAAGAATGGCAAAAACCCAACACACTAGCCATAAGAAGAATGAGCATCAATAGACACACATTCTAAGCATGTATAATTAAGCAAACTCTATGATGATTAATCAATATTGTTCAGAAATGTAATTATCTGTAGCTGCAGTTTAGAATTTAGTCTTAATGTGTATCTCTGGACACCTGGAACCAAATGCAAAGATTTGATTTACTTCCAGCAAACTCAAAATGAAAGAAACTATTTCTGGTATGAATAGGGGATGCCTGTTGTTATTGTTACCGAACCTCACTTTAAAACTAATCCCATATATCCCTCTTGTAAGTTATTTTGAAAGTAATGGTTGAAATGAAAACTGGAATCACTAAAATAAACATATGTAAAATCTATTTGTTGCCAATGTTATTAAAGTCATCTTTTGTTGTAGGAAAGTCGGGTTAGTGCAAGTTTTCAACACCTGTCTGTGATTCAGGCATCTTAAGAAAAAACAACAGGTCTTTCCTGATTGTTATCTGGCACTTTGAGCTCTTTCTATTTCCCATTTGATCATGTTTGTTTGACATCCATCAACACTTATAACAATCCACAGAAACTCTTAAGAAGGCTTTTGTTCTTTTGAAAGATAAGAGCATCATTTAACACTCCCCCAAAACACACACAAACACACACACACACATACACACACGGAATCTTGTCTCACTATCTTTGCAGGGCCTTAATTTCTAAAGCCTGTGACCCTAACCCGAACCATTGTGGGTTCATACCAAACCCTAACACCCCAGTGATATTTTAATTCACATCATAGTCCTTAATGTGACCTCTAACGCAAAAACAGCAATTCCCCGTGTGGGGTCCAGGCATGGGGCCCCACAAGGAGCAGTAGGTAGGCAGTTGGTCCCCACAACGTTTAATTTTCCCTGACAATTGGCACCACAGTGTTTTAACAGCAAGAGCACCCACACACATACCCACACATGCACACTGATAGAAAAAAAATATTCCTTAATATTGTATCTTTTTTTATAAAGATTTTTGAAGTTTAGAAATCAATATAATCTTTTGTTTTTTTTAACCCTAACCCAAACAAAAACTGATGACATTTAGTTGTAGTTAAGACACTAACACAATATGCAGCAGGACAGCGCTTTTTTTTTTTTATCTTTTACATAAAAGCGATTATCATGTCAATGAAAAGTTTCCGGAAGGCCACTGTCACCGCTCAAAGTGGTAATCTTGACCTTTATACTTAATCAGAAAACAAGACTGAGAAAATGATGTGGAACCTTATCTGTCACCACTATCTCAGAACTGATCGCACAGTTTAAAAAGCAGCATGCCAGGTATGGGGAAATATCATCTTCCTCTGAAGAGAAAAGAAACCAGTACTCTGCCCACTTAAAGATGAGGTTACATACATAACCAGGGGCTTTCAAACACTTAAATGATTTGCTGTCCCATCTATGATGAACACCTCCCTTAGTTTTCATGCTTTAACTATAAAAATCTGTTACCAACACATTTAAAGTGAAAACATTGCACTTATATAAAGACTGTACACCTGACAAAAATGACAGCATTAGAGATGGGGGAAGAACAGCAAAGTAATAATTAATGTTGTCATGTTAATTACTCTCCAGGGTTTTGCCCTTTGGAGATCAAACAAAATGAAAGAAGAAGCAATCTCTGTCATTCTGTTTTCCCAGCTATAAGGAAATAGGTTGATCAGCATCGTTTAATAAATTCTAAAGTAGGAGTTTTGCCTTATATGAGCCTCAGCACATTAAGAGCAGTGTCAAAAACAAGCTTTCTGTAGGCCTTAATATTTTCTTGAAGAATGGTTATTCATTTCTTCTAGGTATAAATACCTAGAGGAAATAAGGTATAGGTATAAATACCTAGAGGAAATAAGGTATAGGTATAAATACCTAGAGGAAATAACAGTCCAGAATATAGTGTCTCTGTATAAACTCCCCTGGAAAACGTGAAACTTCTAGAAAACGTCTAGATTAGAAGTAAAACAACGTTATGGCTCCATAATAATAACCTTCGTGGAGCATGGTGAAAGAACTGTATTATTCTTTTGTTTTGATATAATTGGTGTAGTTTCACATTTCAAATCAGTTATGAAAGGTTTACACGTAGTAAATTTTGTAGCCTCTGGAGGTTGACGCTCTTGTTTTGCAGCATTTTTAACAAGCCAACAGCTACACTGAGCTTCCTTAGAAGACGGAAGCCCAGCATTTTCAAGTTTAACATCCAGGACAAAAACAAGGTCCAAATAATGTTGGTATGGGTTTCCCCATTTCAGCTTCCCCATTGCAATCTATTAAACTAGAATCATTTAAGCTTATATAAAGTCTCAAATTTTGAGTTGTTTTAGAAAAGACTTTTGCTGAACAATTAATGCCAATCAAAAACTCAATGTTTTCTGTAAGGATTGTATAGGCTGGTATTCAGACAGACCCAAACTCAAACATTTCACTTTTTATGTAATAACAGAGACAAGGAGCTGGAATGAATGAAATGAATGCAAGTCTGACCGTTAGAGAAACTTTGCTGAACTTTCTACCCATTTTGTGTTGAAGATGTAATTTCAATAGTGTCTTGATCTCTGGCTGTTCTTTCTATTGATGAAATAACAAGAAATTTAACCAATGTTCTCTGGATGCCGATATGCCAGCTGCAGGTGTAGTGACCAATAGGTTGTCGAATAAAAATGTAATTTGCATAATATATAATAAAGCAGCCTAAAAATTAAGAATTGATTTTAAATAAAAAAAAAAAAAAACTACGTTTGGATAAAAGGTGAATGATTGAACAAGACCCCTACGTCAAGTGTGGAGCACTCGTAAAATGTGTTTGTACCATTTTATCGATTTAAGGACGAATCTGTGGTTACAAACAGTTCTTTCATGAGGCCATTTGATTGAAAGAAAAAGAGTTTACCTCTCTCCACTGTCTTTTTCTCTGTCTGTCCACTGTCAACCAAAAAACTTTATGTATACACTGCCAGTCAGCATTAAGCTGCCAGCTTCCCAACCTACTATGAGGTAAATAGGTAGATGACATATAGGTAGCTGAACTAATAGACATTGCATTTTAGGAGAATATGAACAGAATGAAGCAGAAGGATGAAAAGTGTTATCTATGTAATCCAGCAGCCTAAGCCTCTAGCAGCATTACTATAGAAATAGTTCAGGATGACCTGAGCCACTCTAACTATAAGCTTTATCAAATAGTAAAGTTTTAAGCCAAGTCTTAAAAGTAGACAGGGTGTCTGTCTAAAGGACTGAAACTGGTTGGTTCCACAGCGGAGTCGCCTGATAACCACAACATCTGCTTCCCGCTCTACTTTTAGAAATTCTTAAACCCACTTGTAAATCTGCAAATTAAGAGCCAAGTGATCTTATTGTCCCTTATTAGAGACAATAAGATCACTCAAATAAGGTTGACCTTGTTTATTTGTGACTTTATATGTACATTCTAGTCTGGATGTAACGATTTGGATCAGTTGAAGGCTGTTAAGAACAGGTTGTAAGTTTGTAAGCATTACAATTCAGTCCAGCCTTGAAGTAACAAATGCATGGACTAGATTCTCAGCATCACCCCTGGTCAACACATTTCAAAGATGGATAAGTAGATTCTAGAAACGTGCTTCATGGTGAATTAAAAAAGTCCAGATCAAAAATAACACCAAGGTTTTTTACTTTATTTTCTGAATTTAATGCCATCCCGATTACTAGTGGCTGACTCATTAGCTCTGCTCCAAAGACAATATATTTTGTTCGAAGTCAAAATCAGTAAGTTACAAGTCATCCATGTTTTTATACCTACAAAACATTGTAGTCTATGTAATGGGTTTGTTTAATCAGGATTTATTGGCAAATACAACTAAGTATCATCAGCATGACGGTGGAAATTAATCCCATGCTTTCTGATTTTATATGTCAGATTTTATAACCCTACATAAATGTAGGGTTATAAAAATAAATGTAAACCAACTAATTTCTGTCAGACAAATAAGATTTAAATTAGCCTACACTGTAGTGCTTTTTAAATATTGTGATCAACAGTTCCACTAATTCATACTGGTAAGATGAGAAGTAAACCCTGACTAGTATATGATTTGACAGAAAACAGCTAAAACTTGTCTACAGTAGGGCTTTATTAAGTGTTTAAGAAATGTTCTGCAATTCAATGCAAATGTAAACTTAATGCAAACCAGCATACTTTGCTATTTATCTGGTCTGAAGTTAAAATGGGTCTGTAGGAAGTAGAGCTCATTACAAAAGCATGTGAAAGGGATAAGGCAGGTCAAAAATAAGTTGGCAAAAAATTCAATTTATGAGAACATTATTTTCACCACATTTTCAAGCAGCCAAATTTTGTTCTGTGAAATTAATTTCCCTGTTAATCCATGAAGTAACTGATTGTTTTAAAGCTAACTATTTTAGTTTTAACTTTTTAAATGGAATAAATTTTATTCCATAAGTAGACTTTGCTTTGGTGGCTAAATTACATATAAAAATCAATGCTTTACCTTGAATTGGCATATTTATTCACATGACCAGTTTTAGCAGTTCCTCCAATTTCGCTATCCATTTGACGACATATAAAAAAATAAAAATAAAAAAAACACACACACCAATAATTTTAATCATTCCAAAATCTATATTTGAAGTTGCTGTTATTTTTTACAGTATGTTACAAATTTGTTTGATGTAATCATGCAGTTAGTGTACAAGCTTGGCTTCTCCAATTTGCATAAACATACAGTGTATACTGTTTATCTGCCCTTGATAATACATTTGGGCAATACATTTTTCAAAAACCTACATTGGCAAACTAAGCCCAAAACATGAGAAACTTTTGTGAATATTCTACATACATTTCAGGAACTGATAGCAGATTAAATGAAGTTTTGATGTATGACGTTCCTTCATAGAGGACATAAAACAACTCAAAGACCCAAAGTTCCTTAAATCTTCTCAAACTCAAGGACCTATCTCAGAGCTTGTTTCCTTGTTCATCATCATCATCATCCTCTAACCACTGTGGATCTTCCAGTATGTAGCCCAAACCCATTGAACGCCTAGGTCGAGGTTTTTTAATTTCCGCAGGGATGGCCTCATTTTCAGACTCGTCATCCATCTGCAAAACATATTTCTTTGTCAGCTAACATGATAGTAAATGGGAAACGCACACCTTTGCAATTTTGTGTAAGATAGATTCCACTCACTTTTGGACTTACGACCCGCTTAATCGTACAGTCAGTACCCCCAATATAGTGAGGACTCGCCAAAAATGCATCGTCTGCTTCTTCTGCTGTAGAAAACCTCACAAAAGCAATCCTACACTTTGAAGACGTTATGATCTTGGATCAAGACAAAAAACACAAATGTTATAGATTTACTTTTGTAAATAAATCACATTATTAAAGTAAAGGTATTTGCAAAATGTGGGTTTGAAACTACCTTGCACATTGTGATATTTCCCCAGTCTTTAAAATAGGCGTATAAATATCTTTCATTAATACAGGGGTGCAGCTCTGTGATGAACAAGCCGTGATCCTATTAAATGAAAAAAAAAAACATTAAACTTAGAGATTACTTTAGTTAGTATTGAATAGCTAAATGAAGCATAAAAAAACATTACCAAAACATAGCATTTGGAAAAAGCATCCATATGTTTCTTTGGGAGGATGATAAATCTTCTTTTATTTGCAGTCTCAGAGGCCATCTTCCAGATGTGGATGTGAGACAATCGAGATCCGTGAAGAAAATGTGTGTGCAAGCATTAGACAAATCCTTCTTATAAATACAGGAGGGGTGGAGCTAGAGTTTAAAGGAAAGCGGCAGGTTCCTCTTGCTTCTACTTTTGTTTTAATCTCATGTTCAGAGAAGAAAAATGTGTTTAAAAAACATCAAAACCTGTTTAGCAGGCTGGAAATTTTCATCAAGGGCTTCAAGCACTGTAGTTGTTTAGTAGGAAGTGATAAACACCATATTTTTAAGCAAGGCACCTGATGATGGTAAACAGAAACAAGTAGGTTAAGTTGATAGGATGACAGGGTTAGGATCTGAAAAAAAAAAAAAAAGAAGAAGATTTAACCATTTTTGAAGGGTATGTTAGATGAAATCATACACTGCTTTTCTGCAAATGTCATGTGAATATGAGTGACAATATATAAAACAGTAATAAAAGTAATGAAACATTTAATTTTATAATTTATGAAGCCCACATCATAGGTTTTCCATAGCAAAATTCCTATGTTTCCCCTAGTCTGAAACAAACAAAGGGATTTTTTTGATTAATCTTCTTAAAAAAAAAAAAAAAATCCCTTTTAGTCCAGATTCCTGGCTTCTTTTTTCTTTTATATGCAACAGGTTTTCTCAAAGATCAAGCCTCTCATAGAAGCTTAATTTGGTGTCTTATAAACCACCTTTGCATTTTTTTAGCCATATGTTTTGGATCTTTGTCCCACTTTTTAAGACCCCTTTTCAACTTTCTGATGCCATATCTTTTTTTTTTTTTTTTCTTTTTTAAGTTTTTGTTATTTCACACTTTCCATGACTTTAATCCCTCTAAACAAGTTTTCAAAGCCTTTTAAAGTAGCTAGAGGTCCATTACATCACATCTTCCACTGTCCCGAAAATAAACATGACACTTTTATTACATATTTATCTTTTCTTTTACACCAGAAAGCGACATTATCACAGTTAAACTCTGTATTTAGACAACTATACAGAACAGCAAAGGGCCTTTATTCTGACATGTTTCCAAAAACTGGTTGGATGAATTCAATGACCCCAAGATATCACTCTTTACTAGAGTTTTAATGCATGGTTATTGTTCCAACTGTATAAAAAGAAAAATGTGGGACTTGTACGCTGCTATTTCATAACTTATCAAAATAACTTAAACAGCCTCTTTAATCTGGCTTTGCTTTTTGTAGATCGCTCAAGATTATCCATTATTTGTGAAATTAGAAATCGATCGCTTATGTAAAATGTCCACACAATTTGATGGTTACCAATGATATTTAACAGCTGCAATATCTTAAGATACCATCATAGGTTGAACTATAGAAAAGAAAAAACATGAAGTATAACTATTTTATAAATGTCAATGTTTTATGAGCAATCATTCCAAATGGTAAAATGATTAAAGGCAGGAGAGAAAAGTGTGCCAGGACTCTCTCCCAATGACTGTTGGTAACAGTTTTTTTTTCCTTCCAAATTTAGCACCACTTTCTGCCCCCGAACGACATCCGCATATGAAAAATTAGTTGCCAACTGTTTCAGTCTAACGCATCTGATGACTTTCAATTTTAGCTAGTTTCTAACTCTTTGATGGTTTATTTACTTTCCAACAAACTAAAAGGGAAAGGATATCTAATTAATTAGGGGAGCAATTAAAAACAACATAAGGCAAAAAAAAAAAAAAAAACGATTATACGTTGAAGTTAATCTTTGAGGAATTGTTGGGATAACCGTACAAACTGATACTTTTTTTTTTTTTTAAAGATAAATGTATTATTTAATCACAACCTCGACACACACCCAGAAAAATAGTGTTCCTGTACTCTTTAAATAAAAATTGTTAAAATTAAGATTTATTCTAGATTTCTGGTTTATGCCCATACCTGAATCGATGAAATATAGAATTGTATTGTTGTTAGGACACTGACCCTACAAAATATTAAATAAAATCTCAGTCATAGTCACTGGAATATTTTTAGAAGGCCTCTAATTTCACACCTAAGAATAATAATCTGGCTTTTTCCATCGATTCTTGATAAATGTTCTTTTAAAAAAAAATGAATCAGAAACACATTCACTCGATTTTATTTTTGCATTTCCATTACATGTATAAACTCAACATAAAGGTAAAAAATGTGTTGTACCTAAAACACAAAGTTTATTTTACAATTACATGCAGAAGTCAGCCTATTTCACCATTTCATTTTAGAAATCCAGAAGTATATCAGAACTTCACAAATGTCTTTGCTACTTATTTTTCAATTCTTTGCTTTGACATTCATAAGTCTCTATGTCACATGCATCTTAAGAATGACAACACCGTTAAACAGTAGGGCAACAGGGAAATATCTTTCTCTGAAAAGAAAAGAAAAAAAAACATGTTTATTATGCAGTACTTGAATATTTAAGAGATTTGCTCACGTAATTAAACAAGGAAATGGATCAAGACAAAGAAAGAGAAAGAATATGGACTACCTCATGTCTGACAGGAATCCTGATTATTTTTTTCACGCAAATATTGTAGTTGGCTGATGAGGAACTTTTTGTCTTTACCTTCCTGATTACAAAGAAAACACACACAAAAATAAAATCATTTTACAGGCATCTTGCATGTTTTCCCCCTGACTAATAAGCACATATTCCATATGTATTTTTAATAAGGATAGTACCTTTCAGACACACAGGTACAGATTTGCTCAGAAATTAACAAACTTTTCCATTCAACTTTTGTAAAAGTAAGTCTGACCAGCATACAGCAATATGAGGATATACTGAAATAAGCTTGAGGAATATAATAAACTTAATTTGAATTGGAACAAGCAAGCACAGTAAGTTTAGAAATACTTTAAGTAATCAAATACTAATAAGAAGCTTTGAGAAGCAGCATTTGGCATTTTTGTGAATGCTGTCCAAACCTGTATTTGTCTGACAATGAAAATATGAATGCAGAAACCATTGCCTACAGCACCCATGCAATTATATACCAACAAAAAAATAAGCTAAAAAACGCATATAGATTTTAAAGTGAACATATTTCTGATGTGGGAGGAAACCTTTTAAAAACTGATGGATGATCTTACTTCAATCTTATCAAACACTAGACTTATGAAGCATAGTGCTGTGGCTACGGCAGATAAGGCAACAATGCCAATTGGGAATTTGTTGGTACTGTACACAAAAGCCGAACGCATTTGTGTACCAACTATTTTCCTTCATGGTCTATCAGCATTCCTTCACAGTTACTCACCTTAGTAAGTTCTACACTAAGGAGTTTGAGGTGTTAAGAGTCTCCAGATTGATGTTTTACCTAAAGCTGAAAGCACATCATTGGATTAATTCAGGCAGATGGGGTGTCCTAAATGTTCCAGATGTTCGTTTTATTTTGCAGGGTTTTTAAAAAAGTTTTTTTGAAGCATTTGAACTTCTCTATGTTTTGTCACATTACAACCACATTCTGCGATGCATTTTATTTAAACGTGACAGGCCATGCAAGAAGAGCATTTACCCAAAAGGCCCATGGTGACTGTTAGTTTGCCCTTCCACATGTCTGGTCTGTATCAGGGAGTGGCAAAGAGAAATCAATGCCTTAAAAAAGGGTGTAAAATAGCTCCTTTGTTTGGGGCTTATATAGCCATTTCAACACAACCTTTCTGCTGTCAAATTTGGTATTGACAGTATCATGCATTGGGTATGTTCTATAGCACACATTGTGATGGAGCTTAATGCAGAAAAATGCCAGAAATTACCAAATGCTTATAGTGGGGCAGAGGTTCACTTTCCAGTCACAACAACTTAAACCTTCATTTAGAGCTTTGGAAGCATATTTATTTATCAGAATTGACCAAAAAAAGTTTAGACCAAAAGCCAACTTACAGCTTGAGATATACATTTCAAAGCTGATAAAGGGAAACCTCACTTTAAAATGTTTTTACAACTAAGGTTTGTTCAAAGTGGGAATTAGATTAATGCTAATGTACGACACACTTTTTAGACTTATGTATCCTTTTCCTTCCACTAGGACCAGTTCTTGCTGATCTATGTAAAATTCCAGTTAATGATGTGGTTCTGACATAAAAAAAAAATAATAAAAAAAAAACAGTGATTATACAGGTACTTCTTAAACATTTGCAGAATACATTTTAAAATTCCCATATCAGGGTATTACACTTTTTACGAGTGCACCAGAGTCATGCTTTTATTATGCTAATGCTCTCTAGAAAAGTTAGAAGGGCTTGCATACCTTTAAGACCAAAGTAAGATTTCACTTACATTTTCAATCTGCTTTTCAAGCCTTCTAATGATTTTCCTTTGGCCATCCACTACCTGCGCATGGAAATATATCACCAATCTGAAGATGGAGAAAAGAACAACAACAAATAACAATATTAAACATCAGATAAATATAATCCAGTTTAGTCTTAATCATAAGAACTTACAGAAAGATACCAGTTGGCAGAAACAAGAAGATTGGGTTATCTAAAAAAGTGTTGTATGCTCTAATCAGCCATGCTAGAATCTGGTGAGAGTCCTTCATCTTCTTGGCCCACAGCCTCCCGGACTCAAACATGCTGGTTAGGTTTCTGAAAGGGCCACATCCTGGTGAAGGTTTGATCCTGTAAATGAAGGCAGTTCTTTGGATTAAGGTCAAGACACGCACTTTCCAATATAAACCTTAAGAGATTACACCACGAAATAGGTTTAAGAGTCATTTTTGTTTGCCCTCCATTAGTATTTTAAACATTGATTTTTTAAAACAAAAAGCAACTCAAACATTTGACCCTATATATATATATATATATATATATCTCATCAAGAGAATGCCAAGACTGTGCAAAGCAGTAATCAAAGCAAAAGGTGGCTACCTGAAGAACCTAGAGTGTATAATTCCAGATGTGTTAATTCATTGTTTTGGTGCCTTTAGTGTGACTCTATAATTTTCATAGTCATGAAAATAAAGAAAACTCTTTGAATGAGAAGGTGTTGCCAAATGTTTGGTCTGCATTATCAGATGTATAAGATGTAATTACCATAACTATGTAATAAATACATGTATATTATCAATTTAGCACTTTTGAGACATTTGTATTATTAAGCTCCATTAACACATTAACTTTATAGTGATGGAGTTGTATGTTATCTTACATGATTTATAGACTTAATTGACTTCATACTGACTATGCAAGTTGATGTGCCCATTTTTATTATAAGTTAAAGTAATCTACTTATGCTAAAAGGTAAAAGGTAGGCCAAAAGTTTATTCAACTATTGTCCAGGTAGGCAATAAAAAGTTCTACTGGATTCACTTTGTATTAGTCTTTTTCCTGCTTCACAAAGGTAGGCAGCAGCTTGACAAAGCCATGATGGCAATTATTTTACATCCAAGTAGTATGCAGTTCTTCATATATACATACATGAATTTCGAACATATTGAATCAGTATGGGCCGATACTGCACAGCCAGGTATCGGCATCGGGGCCAAAACATGGCATCATCGCAACACTAGTATGTGGGACACATTTAAAAATGGGATACTGGTCCTTGAGGAATTTTTAATTTTGAGACCACTGTTCTTGTAAGCATGTGTGGCATACAGCAGCTAAATTATGTGGCCATTCGTTGTGTTACACCCACGTAAATTCCAGCAGTCCAAGCTATGTCGGTATACCCTTACTATAAGGGAAGTGAGTTGACGTAGCCAGCTTTTTGCAAACCTCCAATGGCAACAAATTCTAAACTTTAAATAATTGTAGTTTAGTCACTCTACAAGCCTTTCTTATATTTGGGGACCTTCATTTATCATCTGTTTATCTGGACATCTGGACATCTAAGCAACAGATTGATGCTCAACAGGTATCGTCAAGTGCTAGTTAGTTATAAATTAAATGAGCTACAGGCCACATTGCTAGTATGCATGTGTGTTAAGCTACATGCAGAGAATCTTTGTATTGTAAATGGAAAAACAGCCTTAAGTTTATTTTCAAGAAATGATCCCTACGTGTCTCTCAGCTTTGATGCCATACTTACATTTAAACTTACTTGAAGCAGTACATTTAAGAAGGAAACACGGCACTTACATCCAGATTGTGTAACCGACAGAAACTGCAGCACCAACAAATGAAGGGAAGCAGAGCAGCGTAATAAACAGTGTTGTCATCTGAGTGGCTCTCCAAGGCTTTTTGGATGCCTGACAATTATGCATTAGACTGCTCTATGGAGACAAAAAGAAAACGAAAGGAGAAGGAATGTTTGTAATCCTGTTTCTACCAGCTTTAAGGAAACGGTTGGATGAGGCATGCATTGCCAACCTTTTTCATATAAAACAGTAAAAACAGCTTTGCGATTTGGACCGCAGGAAGAAGAGGAGCAAACAGCACTCCGAGCCTGGAAACAGCAAAGGGAAAATGTATTATTAAAAAAGGTATTTCTCTTAATAGCTCATCAATTATAAAGATCCCCCCCCAATCACCAAGTAAGAGTTTGTCCGTATATGAGTTCCAACACATTACGCGCAATGTCAAACACTGGCTTTCTGTTCTTCTTTAACATTTTCTTGGAGTAAAGCCTGGAGAGAAGACAACACAATTTGAGCTGAAAATCATTTCCTCCAGGTAGAAACATCAACATGCAGGTTATATTACCTCCATAGAAACTCCCCTAGAAAAGTATAAAGCACTGTGAAGAGGAAGTCCATCAACAGCAGACGGTAAAGTTCCTGCCCCACAAAATTCTCCCAACACTATCACACAGAGACAAAGTTTAATAAAATCCAAGCATATGTTTTTGATTTACATGTGACGGATAGTGAAGAAACATAATTATTCTTTTGTTACAAGATAATTTGAGTAGTTTCACATTTCAATTGACAAAAAGTGACTGTATGGGGAAGTGTATAACCTCCAGAGCTTGATGGTCTTGTTTCACAGCAATTTTACCAAACCATTGGTAACACAGCACTCCAATAATGCTGATCTTCAGAAGCAGGTTCCTATGAAGTCAAGATATGAAACCAACATTTTTACATAAGACTTCCACCTGCAAGACAAAAATAAGGTGGGTCCCCCCCCCCCCTTCTCAGCCACCATGTTGCATTATATATACCGTACTAGAAATATTGTGTTTTTATTAGATTTTAAGTTATCATATAAGCAAAGAAATTTGCTAAACAATTCTTGCCAAATTTTTTTTTTACTTTGTCATCCTATATTCAAGGGTTCTTGACCCTGGTCCTCAGGACCCACTGTCCTTAATGTTTTAGATATGTCTACTCAAGAACACCTGATTCAAATGATTGCATTTCCTCCTTGACAGCCTTCAAATGCTACAAAAGCCTGTTATTTACCTTTTCATTCAGGTTATCTGTGTGGAGGCAGGGAAACACCTAAACCATTTAGGACAGTGGGCCCTGAGGACCAGGGTTGAGAAACCCTGCTATAGTCAATGTATCCTGTAATGATTGTATGAATAGGATCGCCCCCTTCAGGTTTGTTGCTGTCTTACAACTGAGGATGAAAAATCAAAAGGCATGTACTCCAAATTAAACCTTGTATAACTGTAATGAGATAGCGTTCACATAGGTGAGAATACTAGCACCATCTCACCTGAAGATGGAGACATACACACGTGTGATGGGAGAGTTGTGCTTCTCGAACCAACAGCATAAATTAAAGATGCCAGGCAGCAACAGGTTGATGCCAGACACCACTGCAGACGTCAACAATAGTTTAAGAGTCACATACTCTGAACTGATGGTGTTCTGCAATCAAATGAGAAGGATTTAAAAATATGGGATGAGTTCAAGACAATAAAAGATGCATTTAAAACAAAACATTAATGGTGTTTTCAGTCCTTCTTTTTGTCTACTTTAAATTGTCTTGCTGCTGAAATGTGCTTTATAAATAAACTTGCCCTACCGTGCCTTACTTAAACTGATAAACTGGTAAACTGAAACAGTGCGAAGGTTTCTTAGAGGAACTTTGAAAAGAAGGACCTATACGTTAATCAAATCTACACAGAACAACGACTCGGTTTTGAAAGCCGTAAAAACGTGGCACCCTGTATGAAGAATAAATATAATTGTGTACTTCCGTAAAATGTTCATGGGAGAAAAGAAAAGCGGAACTAAATTATTGTAACAGGAAGTGTGTTTTTGTACGCCTCAGTGGCGATGTGAATTAATGTTCCTATGCATGGAGCCCGTCACATCTACAGATTTTACAAACCTTGGATAAGAAGTAGACACCACAGGCGCTGAGGAAGATGCTGGCCAGACAAATGAGCCATGCTATGAAATGGACTATAAGGTTGCAGAACCGCTGCATGGGGCTCCTTTCATCTTCTCCACTGGTCAGCTCAGATAGTTGCTCCTGTTAGAGAAGTTGTCATTTTAAAGTGGAGCAAATGACCAATGGCTGTATATTAACCACTGACATCTGTCTATAAGTTTATTTCAACTGTATACAAATAAACTTAGCATGAAGTTCAGTCATAGAGAAAATAGGTGCAGCCTTCCTGTGTTGATAGGATTCAAAAGGCAAGAAAAAAAAAAATACTAGCCCATAAGTAAAGGTGGTTCACCATGAATGGAAGACATCAGCAATGCAAATATCAAAGAAGCCACTTCTTGTACTACAATATGATTCTGGAAACAATTATTCAGGGTCCTTTGCAAAAAAATGAAAATTTATGGAAAGATTAATCAGCTGCCAGTTAAATAGGATGAGATTGACAAAAGTAATAAAGATAAATGTGAAAATAACATTAATATTGAATTGTGGTTCAACAGAAACTATTAACATTGAGCAACACTCAATCACTGCATTTGGCTTTTTTCTGAAATGTTCAGTCATATTTCAGCATCTGTTGATGGTTTGTTGGTGAAATATTCATGAGCAAAGTGCTCTAATGTGTCTGGGACAGTTTTGTTTGTTTTTAGAACCACAATTTAAAATCAATATTTTTAATTCGCTAAATCATAATTTAGTCAACATTTTCATATTTTTTTAGTTTCCTGTCATTTCAATTATTGTTGTGAATTTAGCCTTTTCTTTAATAGGATTTTGTTTTAACACAATTATATGTTTTCATCTCCTTACATATAAAACTTTTATGATTGTCATTCCAAAGGTGGGTTTGTGTACAAGGGTGAGGAATGAAGTGGGTGCAAATGCAAGGTCAGGAAAAAAAAATAAATAAATATATAAATTGACTAATAGCTGAGCAATCCGCAGCGGTTATGCTGACAAAGAAAAACCTCCAATTCACTAGGTAATTTCACATTTATCATGGATGATATGTCCATATTAAAAGGTATAGAAGGATTTTTGTGAATATTTGAAAACACCCACCCTTTCCACTTTAAAAAAAAGCACATGCACAACCCTGTACCTGCTCCAGAGAGGGAACGCCTATTAAACGTATGCGAGAGCGTGCACAAGCCCATTGCTCCTTGTTAACGCTCTGTTTAAAAGTTGCTGTTTGCATCGCTCATACAAGCTTACTTTCCAATTTTTCCACTATGTCAGACTCGCCATCGGTAAGTGAAAATTGGGACAAGCACATAGGACGGCCTTACGTAAACATATCACCAGAATGATGGACAATTAGGAGGACCACTTATTTTGATGATCCACCCAGAAAAAGAACATCCTCCACTATACCTTTAATTGATTTCCAGAAGCACACATACACTTTAGTGGATTTCTGTTTAAACAAGACATCTTTACAGAAGAGGAGACAACATACCAGCCACCAAGCTAAAGGATCTCGAAATTGGGGATAAGTCTACCGATGCTAAACAGAATTGTTCTAGTTTCCACTCACAGTTTGGAACAACAAAAGCCTTTCAGAAAAACTGGTTCTGAACTTTAAATGGATGAGATTTAAAAAAATTACATAATTAAAAAAAGGAAAAATAAATCTATGCCATATTCTACAAAAAAAAAAATAAAAAAATTCAGCTTTCTGCCTTGCTGGTCAGATATTTGGCCAAATTCCACAAAGCATTATTGAATGATGGAGTCAGTAATTGGCAACAGGCACTGAGCAAGTTTCAAAAACATAGAAAATCTATGTAGAAAAGAGTTACATTTATATTTCCTGGCCAGACAACACTATGGGTTCTCAACAACCCTAAACCTCTGCTCCTAGATCCCTGGTTGGAACAAAGGAAGTAGATGTTCCCATTTTGTAACAAACCATTTGGAACTGATGTGTAGAAGACCATCAGGCAATAAATTATGTACTATAAATAAACTAAAACCCACTATCCCACTGTTAAACATGAAGTTGGTAGAATCATGTTTCAGCTCTGCTTTTCTTGAGCATGGACAAAGAAACTGTCCTGATGGAAAGATAGGCGAGATATACAAAGAAGCACAGAATTATCAACTACTTTTATAGTGGTTTATGAAATGCATCCCCAATAAAATACACCAAAGAGTGGAGTTTTACTGCAGATCAATTAAAAAAGCATTTCTAGGAGTGTGGGTACTTTTAAGACTTTGTTTATGGGAATATGGTTAAATCAAATGAGGCCACCAGCAAAACTCCCACATAAACAGAATGACCCAAATGTTGCAGAAAATCTACAGCAGAAGGTTAAAAGGTGAAAATAATCACATTTCAGACCTCAGCCTGGTTTAAACACTAAACAATGATCGAAAGGTAGGCCAACACTCCTTTACAGAAACTAATGAACAGAAAACGACCACTTCAACTCATTTTTTAAGTTTTTTCTATACGCTCATTAATCTCTGTGCAGTCCCATGAACCTTACTATGAAATCTTTTTAAATATGATAATTTCCGTATTTTTGGGATAAAAAAAAATGTATTAAAAGATCAACAACAAAAAAAAGGGTTTTTTCAAAGGAACACGAAGGATAGCTGTAAGAAAACACCTACTCACTGCAACTATTAACCTGAGAGATTATTCATTTTATAACGAAAATACTTGCGTACTTTGAGCTGAGTGCTGATTTTCTCAGACTGAAGTCTGATAGATGACTTCTTGCTGACTTTAAAGTCCCAAAAGCAAAAAACCTTTTCAGACAGATTTCCGTGGGGTTTGAACACCCGAAAACTTCTCCCAAAGGACTTTGACATACTGTAAGGAGAAATACCATTAGACAAACACAACAGGTGGATAAATATTAAATATGTTAAAATCACTGAATTATTCACGGACCTGTAAACCAGAAGGATGCAGATAATAAAGAAAGAAACCGTGATGGTAAAGAAATAGGCTGTGGGTATACTGTAAGGCACCAGCTGTGTAACTGCATTGCCAGCTGGATGGTTAGTTTCAATTGTGATGTTTGAGTAGTAACCGTAAAACATTAAACTCTCAGAAAGGTAACCCTGTCAAAGACAAAAAGTTCCAGAACAAATTAGAGAAATAAAAAATGTAAACAATGGCCAAAGCTAAAATAAAAACCTCACCGTGCCTGTGAGAAGATTAAGGGCTGCGAAAGAGTGTTGAAGAGAATCATTAGGAGGAGAGTGGATGGCTTGAGGAATGACCAGAAACAAACAGGTGATAATGAACAGGAGCAGATTGATGGACAGGAGGGTTCGCAGAAAAAGGAAATAGGAGAGAACTCCGGTTCCATAACGTCCACTCAGCTTTTTCATGGAAGAGTTCCACAGCTTCAGGTAGCTGAGGAAAGGAAGTCCGTTGAATGTGCAATGGTGCCACATCTTAAAAGAGGCAAATGGAAGCCATGTAAGCAGCTAATATTTAAATAACAATTCAAACCTCTTAGGAGCAGGAATACCCACCCTCGAGATGTATACACACTGGAGATTGTAGCAGGGGAGCTTCTTTCTGATGAGTGATTTCTCAGCTAAATGGCTGAAATAATGTTTCCTTTGGAAAGAACACAGAAATATAAATTAATCCAAATGTTGATTAAAAAAAATTAAGATGAACCCTGACAGTTTCAGATGCAATTTGACAATCCATCAATTACTTTTTAAAACAACATCCCTGTCCTTCCCATTCCAAATCAATACGCTTTACATCACCATGTCACCAGGTGATTATGAACCAATTCAAGCACTGAGGAAATGCTTGGAAGAAATCGATGCCTGGATGTGCCATAATTTTCTTTAACTGAATAAAAACAAAAGTGAAGTAACAATCTTTAGACCAATAGAGGAGAGATCAGAGATTTAAAGTTAGCACACAGCTTCAGTCGCTTCAGGTAGTAACCACTGATCAGGCCCGAAATCTACTGTATGTGTAGTGCTGGATTCAGACTTGAACCTCCAAAAGCATTTAAAGGCAACTACAAGATCGGCTTTCTATCACCTAAAGAACATTTCCAGGATTAAAGGACTAATGTCTCTGTATGATCTAGAAAAACAAATCCATGCGTTTATTTTTAGTCGAATTGATTACTGCAACGGTGTTTTCACAGGTCTGCCTAAAAAGTGGATCAGACAGCTGCAGCTGATCCAGAATGCTGCTGCCCGTGTCTTCACTAAGACTAAGAAAGTAGAGCACATCACCCCAGCTTTAGAGTCCTTACACTGGCTCCCTCTATCTCAGCGAATAGACTTTA